ATTGCAATGTGTAGTGTCTAAAATGTAAGTTACTTGATATTACCTTCTTGTTTACTGTACCGTTTGTTAAATAAAAGCAATATTACTGTTGCGGTCAAGCAGTTGCTCTGAAGAACAGCACTTCTGCTTGTGTGATGTTGCTTAATTAATCATTAATAAAAATGTACAACTCCTGTATCAAACTTTCAGATCAGTTGCTTGCTTATGTACAAATGTGTGAGTGTTTTAATACCGTAGCAACACCTCACATCACTAGCTCTGAACACCTGCCTGCTCATAATGCTCACATGACATAGAGAGGGAAAAACATTGAGCAAAAGAAAAGCATTTTGATGATGAGAAAGATTTGTTCAGTACCATTACTCCCATAAACTCTCAAATATCAGTCACCTAAAAGATTGCTTCTCAATTCATCTCGTATCCTCTCCAACTGTAATAAAAACCCATTTCTGATGACACCTATTAGATCATAGTCACGTTTCGTATTGAAGAAAACAACCCAGAGCAAGAAGAGAAACTTGTCAGCTAAATGATGCACAGCAGTCTGCTAGTATTTTTTTTTGTCTAGCCAGGGTTTTCAAACAGAAGATGCATAAAATGTATGTCATTTTTAATAATTTTTAACATTTAATTTTCAAAATAATATTTATAATAATTTTTCATTTTTAACTTATTACGCTACGCCTACGTCATCTGCTGGAATGCCACTCTCTCGTGAACACACATACTCTAGCAGTTAGAGCTAGAGATTATGGTTTATAAAGTTTTAAATATGGATATTTTTCCATTCACTCAATCGAGTCATTCAAACCACTGATTTATTCAGGAGCTATGAGTGAGTCTTTGAATCACTCAACGGATTTGTTCAAAAACACTAATTCATACAGGAACAAAATGCCACAACTATGTGTAGTGTCCTGGGAACTCTACATCTACAAAATGATGAATAAGGATTGTGAATCAGGTTTGTTTTTGCTTTTTTTATGTTTTTATTCAACTTGTGGATTTATGAAGATGCTTGAATCATCATATATTAAGCTGAATCATTATATATCCAATTACATTGAATTATTATATATTCGATTGTAATTGTACAATAATTGTACAAAACTTGAACGCTACATTTTCAGAGTGCCGTTTCATGCAGAAGATGCTGCAAATGACATGAGACACGAGTGCAATGGTTAAACACGTCCATCTAGCATGTTTACATTGAAAAACAATGGAAAAGCAACATAGTGGAATGAAAAAAATGTGTTCTGTCTGTATTGCAATGTGTAGTGTCTAAAATGTAAGTTACTTGATATTACCTTCTTGTTTACTGTACCGTTTGTTAAATAAAAGCAATATTACTGTTGCGGTCAAGCAGTTGCTCTGAAGAACAGCACTTCTGCTTGTGTGATGTTGCTTAATTAATCATTAATAAAAATGTACAACTCCTGTATCAAACTTTCAGATCAGTTGCTTGCTTATGTACAAATGTGTGAGTGTTTTAATACCGTAGCAACACCTCACATCACTAGCTCTGAACACCTGCCTGCTCATAATGCTCACATGACATAGAGAGGGAAAAACATTGAGCAAAAGAAAAGCATTTTGATGATGAGAAAGATTTGTTCAGTACCATTACTCCCATAAACTCTCAAATATCAGTCACCTAAAAGATTGCTTCTCAATTCATCTCGTATCCTCTCCAACTGTAATAAAAACCCATTTCTGATGACACCTATTAGATCATAGTCACGTTTCGTATTGAAGAAAACAACCCAGAGCAAGAAGAGAAACTTGTCAGCTAAATGATGCACAGCAGTCTGCTAGTATTTTTTTTTGTCTAGCCAGGGTTTTCAAACAGAAGATGCATAAAATGTATGTAATTTTTTATAATTTTTAACATTTAATTTTTAAAATAATATTTATAATAATTTTTCATTTTTAACTTATTACGCTACGCCTACGTCATCTGCTGGAATGCCACTCTCTCGTGAACACACATACTCTAGCAGTTAGAGCTAGAGATTATGGTTTATAAAGTTTTAAATATGGATATTTTTCTTACACTATTTCTTACGATATTTTTCTTTTATTAACCCCCTGGTGCCGTGTGGAGCACTTTTTATGATGGATGGATGCACTTTATTTTGCTTCAAAATCTTGACCACCATTCACTGCCATTATAAAGCTGGGAAGAGCCAGGACATTTTTAAATATTACTCTGACTGTATTCATCTGAAAGAAGAAATTCATATACACCTAAGATGGCTTGACGGTGAGTAAATCGTGGGGTAATTTTCGTTTTTGGGTGAACTATCCCTTTAAGGTCACCTCGGGCCTTTGCAATTGCAGGATATTTTCTATACTATACGCATAATTCATATGACTGATCTTTTTAAGGCATTGTAAAGACTTAACATTTTTTAATTAATTGGAAAACACAAACACATTTATAAACACTTAAAAAAAATAATTCAGTAATCAAAACATTTTGGATTCTTGTTTGACCCCTGAGACAGAAAATGTATCATATTTCATCCAACTTACAATGTCACAGTGAAGAAACAATAGAAAACATCAATCAAAAAACGCTTCCACACGAAGGTGATTACTACATGCGCGTCTTTGCAGGCTTACAAAATATACAGCCTCTCGCAATTCAGCATCTCTCATAAACATAAGGAAGATTACACCTTTGCAAGACATGGATCATTTTCAAAGATTACAGTTACCAGCTGACGGCGACATGATTATCCTTCATTGCAAATGCTTACAACCTTGAAAAGCTTTTGTGATTGTTTAGGTTGTAAATTGCATAGGAAACCGCACATTCTCATGAATAAACACCAGACAGGAGTCCTTACAGGAATGGCTCGAAGGAAAAAACAGAGATGAAAAATAAAAGTATTTCATTTCACATGAGCTGCAGACATTCATGCTTTCCTGGCATTCTGATTGTCTCCATCATTATGGATTTAGTTTGTATGTTGTTGCTTTCTAAACAAAATAAATAGTAGTTGTGCCTTTGTCTCGTATCAGTGAGGTGGGCTCTCCGGCGGTATCAGGGGTCTCTCTTCCATTACACTTCCAACAGCCTGACTGCCAAAGTCAAAGCTGCTCAGGTGAGCTCATGATGGAGCTCCAGCTGGGAGCATTTGTTTTGTGTGTGGTAGAGAAGCAATGGAAGCGTGTCTGATGTATTCCTGCTGTCTTTCTTCCACTGCATATAGGGTGGCATTGGGGAAAGTGAAGCCAAGGGCAGTATGATGAAGCCCTGTGCCTTTACTATTACACATGGGACTGCTGGGTCTCGCACTCGTTTTCTCCCTTCTCTCGCTCTGTATTTTTTTAAATATCTTCTGCCTGTGTGCTGCTGGCTGCCATAATAGACACGTTATATAGTATATTAGATATGTAATATGTTTGTCAGTGTCAGAGTCTAAACTAGTTTTCTGTTTGTTTTTTTACATTTGAGAGCAGAAGTTCATTTTCTCAATTGTCACAATTTTGGAGCAAATTAATAAAAATATCTTCTGCCTGTGTGCTGCTGGCTGCCATAATAGACACGTTATATAGTATATTAGATATGTAATATGTTTGTCAGTGTCAGAGTCTAAACTAGTTTTCTGTTTGTTTTTTTTACATTTGAGAGCAGAAGTTCATTTTCTCAATTGTCACAATTTTGGAGCAAATTAATATTCATTTGTCCTCCCAGTTTGATTATAAATAGGTGTTCGTTGAATAATTAATTAGGGCATAACCCAGAATGAGGGAGAAACTCTTTAAAGTAGATGGTCATTTCAAAAGTGATCGATATAATGGTGTAAGCTTAGGCTGATTTGTGGGACATTACTACTTCATAGCAGTGAAAACAGCACAGCCGTTCCTTAAAAATTGATAGGTGCAAAGAACCGAAAGTAGCAATGAATGTAGTCTGAGTTTGTATTTTCTTTCCCCCATTTGTGATTTTATATTAAATGAAAACTAGCTGCCTAGATCACTACAAATATAGTAAAGCATTCTCCTTGCTTTACATCCATAGCTTCTTTCTAAATATGAAACATTTTAAAGGGTGCAGTTACAGTATACACTGCACTAATGTTTGCTGAAACAATACAATGACTTTGCTAGAAGTATATACCCTAAAAATAAGGCTGTTTATCAGCCAGGACATGCAAACAAGGCCATAAATAATAATAATAATAATAAAGCCCACACTGTAAAAAGTACCGGTGTTAAAATAAATACATTTCATAAATTATCATAGTAGCGCAAGAAGTGGAAGATGATATAAATTCAATCATTAAAATTACAGCCATTTCCAGTATCTGTGTGCGCGCATGTAAATTTACATTATGTAAATAAATATATAGATATACATTTCTTTCACTTACATATTCATAGAAATTTTAAATGTACAAAATATTGATTTAAATTTTTTTTTTACAAAGTTGTCAACTTCCTATATAAATCCTTTACTTGCTGTAAAAATACAATACCACTCATTTCCTTTTTATTGTTTTATTTTTCAAATGTGCAAGGTGAATTTCACAGTAGAGATCAATGAATGTTTACTAAACTCTCACACCATACATACAAGCAAACCAAATGCAGAAAAAAAATTAACAAAATGCAAAGCAATAATATAGAAAGACAATAAATCACTGTTTTAACTTATGTGGATAAATTAACTGCAAGCTATGACAAATGAAAGAACTGGCTGTAAAGCATTCACACCTGCAGCAGCCAACAACACAAAAGTATCATTTATAAATTCTTTCAAAGCTTTTATTTAACATCTAGACAGACTAGTGAAAGTAGCACTGCCGTAACTTATCTTCTGTAATGCTTTGTGTTCTTAAGACTGATGCAATCACAAAGAAAGAAAAGAACAAATTCTTGTGTTAATGTCCATGTTCTGAGATTCACAATTTTTGAACAGAATTAAATCAAACTCTAAAAAAACCTAAGAGTAAATTTTAAAAAAAATGAAAAAAATAACACAAACACACCCATCTAAAAGGAGGAAAAACTAAAAAACAAAAATCTATTTTTCAAGTTAGAAAAAGGACAAAAAATTACAACAACAAAAAAAACAAAACTGTGCAAGTACAGCAAACATATGGTACAGTATATTACACGTACAACAAACCATTTAAATACAGTACTGTGTATCGACAATAATCCTGAGAAGTGTCCATTTCTGGTTCCCGTGCTACTGAGTGTAAATATGGGAAATGTGCAACTGCACCAAAGCCAACGCAATTTCTCATCCCTCACCCTTCACCAAAGCCCCAGATGAAGCTCGCCCTCGCAGGCACCAAAGAGCCATCAGCTGTCCTATTTAAAGACGCAGTTTACCACGTCCTCAGTCTCTGTGTCTGAAAACATAGCGCTGTATTCTGAGACGCTTTCAAGGGAGGAAATAATGTAGTGCAAAATCAGAAACCTGCATGACGAAATAAACTTGAGGCTGGAAAACCAAAACAAACGTCGAGCGACAATAACTTATAAGACTGACAACTTTTGGAAGTGTCAAGCAATGACAAATGGCTGTAAAATCACTGTATCTTCTGTATAAGATTGTCAAAAAAGCTGCACCAAAAACAATTCTTCTTCTCCATAGTTCAAGACTGGAAGATAAGGGGATGGAAAGAAATAAAGAAAGTGTTCATTTGCAGGAAACGCTAGTACAGGAGGACTGGACATTTGCAAAACTGACCTTTCCTAAAGTCAAAGCACCTTAGTGCAGAAGCAAACTGTACTATATCGGACTTCATATCGGCTTTGTTCACTCCATCACTGATGCCTGGGCTTTTCATGTGAACAGGCACTGTCACCCCTGATAGCAACATCTCACTGAACGTTAACCAACCCATGATAGCAAAACAAAGGCCATTTTTCTGGAATTATTCATGAAAACATCACTTAAATTTCTATTGTACTTTGTCTAAAGAACAATGACAGAACACCTGTTATTGCTGCCATGGGGTGCAGGCTAAGACTCCTAGAACACGTTTTGGCATTTTGGAGGCATCCTTCTTCAAACTGCACTTGTAGGTTTCAGATACGAGGAGTCAGTAAATGACAGTGGAATGCAGGCATCCACATTTTGGCCACCTCTTCGCCAACCCTATCGATGTCCTCTCCTGATCGGAGCAGTTTTGGCTGTCAACAAATTGCCCACTTTTGATTTCAGCTACACGTAAAGCTAGTATCCTTTTTTCTTCTCCAATATGGAGACTTCTAAAGGTAAAATCTTGTAACCTCACTAAAGATCTGGCTGGTGATGCGAAATTGCAAAGATAAAGATTTTGATTTGGTAGCTGGGATGAACGAAACATCATAAAAGCAGAGTCTAAAATGAAAATTAAAAACTGCTGTTATGTTATAGCACATGGGTTGACTTAAAAAGGAAAAAGAAAAATCAAAGATTAAAACCTGTGTGCGCATCTTGGCAAACGAATTACTTTCCATTAATAATCAAAATTCTCTAACGAAATTCTTAAGCAAACCACAGAAAGTCTTTTTGTAGGTGGCATGGATCAACTTACTCATCTGAAAACCTGAAAGAAATTACCATTTAAAAATTCAGTATTCACACTGAGCAAAAACGCTCATCATACCCGTATGAATATTTATAGCTTTATACATTTATTTTTCACCAATTATTCTTTTCTTGTTTTACTCAACTGTTGACATACTGCTTGTCCTTAAGAACATTAACTGTACATGTTCGCCAACTATGCATGCCAACAACCCAAGCCAAAACAGCAACAAAACCTTTAAAGATATAATGGAGCAGAAACGTCTCAACATCTGCAAAAAAAAAAGATTAATTGCACTTATGATTCACTTTTCTAACTGTAAAACAAGCGATTCTGTGGGCACTGTGCGCACAATTGTCAAACATAAAATACTGCGTTTTTTTTTTTTTTTTTACTTTTTCAAACAGCACCCGAGTTTATTGATTGAAACCTTTAACGCTTTAAGACTTCCCCTGCAGTTCTGGTGTTGGGGACACAAACAGCACCATGTATTGAGCAGTACCACCATCCCCTTCTCCAAAAACATTAATCAGCTGTCTCAAACAGCACATTGCATTATGATCTTAACCTCTCCTTGAACTCACAGCACTTTCTGAAGACACTGAGGGTATAGTTTGGCAACCACGCACTCAAAATGGCGGCCGAGGTCCCAGAGGCGGTCCGGCGTCTCATAGACCTTTGTCCATTGGTCGGCTTCATCGTCATACTGGTAGAGGGAGTTCTTGCGGCTGGTACGGAACACGTGTTCTTCTACCATGACTTGCGTGGCTCGAACAAACAGATGCAATCTGCCCTGAAGCAGAAGCACCTTGATGTAGGGGCTGGTCGCTTGGTCGAAGGGGAGGTCTCTTTTACGGCACCAGGTGTTCTGCTCGATGTCGTACACCTCGACGGTAAACGTGCGCTGGTGGTTCCTGCAGATGCCTGCTATGTAGTAGATGCAGTTTTTGTACAGGGCCGCCAAGCCTTGAGTGCGGGGAACGTTCATAGACGGTAAATGCCCCCAATAGTCTTTGCGGGGGTCAAAACAGAAGAAGAATTCTCCTAGGACAAATTCACAATAAAAGAATGAGCAATATCCAAACTGATGGCCAAAATGACTAAATATGTAATTAATATTGCAAGTATAACTTATATTATGTAGCACCAAAATTACATTACTTGGCCAAAATCAAAAATTCTGGACTCACAAGGCTGAAAGGAAAACTTAATATTTTGAATGAAGCTTTATTTTTATATTTTAGTTTTCATTTTAAACTTAGTTACATTTTTAGTCAATCTGTTATGTTTGTCATTTTTATTAGTTTTTGTTTTTAAAAATATTACTATTTAGGTTTTTTTTATTTATTTCACTTTTAGTTTTTATTTTATTTCCAGTTAGTGATTTTACAAGCTGTCTGAGCTGCACAGCCAAACTAATTTCCCTATTTTAAAAACAAAGCCTTACAAGGTAAAATATTAGAACAAAGATACACATTACAAATACACATAATATACTAATAAAACAAACAGTGCTTTATTTTTCAGGTACAGTAGGTGTATTTAGCAGTAGCATTCAAGAAACGGAATTAACAAATATAAATATAAAACACTATATACATCAACTATACATTGATTCTTATTAAAGCAACTGTATCAAAGTTCTTCAGTCAAGAGCAGTGAGTGAGTTTTCTCTATGTGTTTTGTTGTTTTATTAACATTAAAGGGATAGTTCACCTAAAAATTTTTATTCTGTCATCATTTACTCACTCACTCTCAGTTGTTTTACACCTGAAAAATTCTCTTTCAGCTGTACATGTGCTTTAAAGCACATGCAAATAATGTACTTTTGTGACTGCGAATAAGTGCAGTGTCCTGTGAGTGTAACTATCACTGAGTAAACATTTGATGTGAATGTATGTCGCGTTGTACAGTATATCGAGACAGAGGCGCCAGAACTGCTACTGATAGAATGTGCGCTGTGGCGCGATACTATGAAATTTCTTCAAAAGCAGATCATGGAGACATTTTAATTGTCCACGATCAAAAATCGTCACATCACACACATATAGGCAACATTTTTTTTAAATATTCTTTAAAACTAGAGAGCATTGTTTTCTTGTGCATATCTGTTTGAGATACAGACTTTAAACAGTCTTTATTTCAACTGTACATTGTGATACATGCATCACAATTCAATAAATTGCTTAGCTCTAGGGCTGGACGATATGGCCAAAATTTATATCACAATATATTTCTTAATTTCGGTCGATAAGATATAATTCCGATATCGATATGAACACTATTTTAAAAAGCCTCATAAAAACTGCCAAGAACACCCACAAAAGATGTCTATACCAACAAACTTATGAAAAAAGAATTTGCCAAGTCTATGAAACCTCCTCCTATAAAACTATATCATATTTTAGAAAAAAACCCCAGCACAAATTAATGTTCACCTTTTATTTGTATTTAGCCTTCATACAAACAAGAAATGTGAAATCACTGTCAAATAAACTTCTCAGATTCACCTTATTAATATTAATAACTTTAACTTCAAACTACAGGCTAGCATACACTACCAGTCCAAAGTTTTTGAACAGTAAGATTTTTTTTAATGTTTTTTAAAGAATTATCTTCTGCTTACCAAGCCTGCATTTATTTGATCCACAATACATACAGCAAAAACAGGAACATTTTGAAATATTTTTACTTTTTAAAATAGGCCTAACTGTTTTTTTATTTGAAAATATTTTAAAATGTTATATATTCCTGCGATTTCAAAGCTCAATTTTTAGCATCATTACTCCAGTCACATGACCCTTTAGAAATCATTCTAATATTCTGATTTGTTGCTCAAAAAACATTATATTTTTTTCAGGTTTCTTTGCTGAATAGAAAGTTCAGAAGAACAGCATTTATCATCACCTCTGATCAATTTAAAGCCTCCTTGCTAAATAAATGTATTAATTTCTATTTCTTTTTGATTTTGAAACGCACAGTGCTCATGTTTATTCACGAAGTCAAACGTCACAAATAATTCAATGTATTGGAAACACTGGTAATGTATATCGAAATATCGGAAATGTGTTTAAAAATCATATCATATTTTTAGATATCGCGATACTTATTGATATTGAATTATTGTCCAGCCCTACTTAGCTCCACAATATCAAAACTAGATTGTGACTGATCAGCTCATCAACTCTACGTTCAAGTTAAGTAATTTCTCTTTTGACCAATACATTTCTATGGCATTTTCTGTTGAGTTTTCAGTGGTTGAAATTTCGGTGAATCCCTAATATTGAGTGCTAGTCTAGCTCTTTTGTGCTCCCAGTTATTGCTGATTTTGCAGAGAGAGGTTAACCCACCTGACCTTACCATCCAAGCAGAGCTAAAAGACATGATAGGCCAATGAATAACAAGGATATATGTGTTTGCACACTGTGATGACCCTGATTTCAGGTGACTCTGCAATGACCCCACTCACCTTGCAGCACATAGATGCGGTCCTTATACTCTACTGTGCTGTGGAACTCCATGGCCACTGGCATGGGACTGATCGCTGTCCAGCAGTTGTCTCTGGCATCATAGCACTCCACAGATTTCAAAGCATTTCGTCCATCCCCTTCATACACTCGACCACCCAGAGCGTAGAGTTTCCCGTAGCAGTGTACTAGCTTGCAACCGATGCGCGCCCGCAACATGGGTGATCGTGGGAGCCACCTATTGCCAGCATGTTCATACTGCCAGAAGTCACTCTCTGCACGATGGTCGATGCACACCTCACTATTGCTCGGCCGATAGCCTCCGGCAATGAAGATGTCATTCTCTGATGAGACCAAAATGCCAACCTCTCTGAGGTCATTGGGAGGTTTGCACAGCTTGTACACCTTCCCGGCAGCAATGTCCAGGCAAGGCACGGTCTGCTTCTTCCCTGAGTGCTTGTGAGCCGCGTCGAAGCAGATGACCATCTCTGATGCAGTCATACCCAGCCGCTGTGGGCAGCCATTGGTGCCGTTGAGCCGACCCTTATCCGAGGAATCCCTGGACAAGGCCAGGGCGAAGGCTGGGGGTATACGGCTCAGAAAGGCCTCATCCAGAAGGGGCAAGCGGATGCATTTGGCAAAAACCTCAGGTAAATCCGCCTCCCGACGTGAGCAGTCATACTCCAACCAGTGCACGATGCTTTCATAAACGTGCTCCTCTTTTTCCACGTTCAAATCATCACTGTTGAGAATGCTGACCAGCTGTTCTTTGGTCAGATGAAGGAACTCCTGCTCTCCCATCACGCACAGGAACTTCTTGCGGATGTAATCCTGCGAGCGCTCCCACAACTCCTGGTGGCCATAAGCATCTGCGAACATGAAGACCCCAATGCAGTTCTGAGGGTCCAAACGGCTGATCATGAACTGGGCACATTGGTCTTGGAGGGCTGGGATCTGGAAGATGCTGGCAGCGGTGAACAGTGCCTGCACGTTAGACTCTGTAAGAGTGACACGTGAGGTGTAAGCATAGTCCAGAACCAAATGCATGGACTCTGATTCAACACCAACAATCCGCACCTCCCGCTGACTGCTCTCTGTAAGGCCACTTGTGAACATGGATCTGACAAAAGATAAACAAACACCATTACCACGTGAACACAACAAAACAGTGTCACCGACTGCATTTCAGAATTTTACCAGAGGAAAAAAGAAGGCTATGGCAATCATTTTTATGACAATAAGCATTTAGTTAACTGTGGTATTCCAATGTGTGATTCAAGCGTGTTAAAGTCTAAATAAGTGGCACTCCAAAGATTATTTTACATTTAATGTGTAGTTTCTTAAATGAGTGTTCCTGGTTCAGTACAAGTTAAATTCTATTTAAAGAAGCTCTTGGATATTGTCCAAAAAGAACAGAAACCAACTCCATTCAAAGTTTTTTTTAAAGCCAAAAATGATCAAGCAATTATTATGTAATTAATCATTCCAGAGTTAACTAGTTTACATGGTCATGACATGGAAGTTAAAAGACTGTAATTAACTTAACAAAAACAATGTCTACAATCATTTAATCGCATTGTCAAGCTGCTATATTTTTTAAAAGAGTACATATTTTGATGTTTACTGTCTGCCCTGTATACTTACTCTAAACATTTTTAGGGACAAATGATGCCAATACAGCTTGTCTTGTATTGGACCAGCAACATTCCTTTGAAGTTTTTATACATTAATGCTGATAAAGTATTAAACTCTAAATGTCTAATCAGTTTAAAGCTTTCATATCGGTGTATAATAAATCATTTAATTAGTGATGCTCCGTTAATAATCAGTGCTTGTTTATCAGCCAGCCGCGGCACGTTTCTGAAGTGGCTCTCCGTGCTGCTTGGTTAAAAATTGTCTTTTGTGAGTTGTCACAGCATGGAGGACGGGTTTCCCCAGTAACAGCTGTACACAAAGCAGCGCTGAGCTCACAAACGCTGCTTTATCAGGCATATAACATGCAAGATGAAATGAAAATGACATCGAAATTTTTCCTTCAGAAATACAGTGATATAAAACACCCGCACCTCATTTTGATTTTTAAACGTGCAGTACGTGCTCGTGTTTATTCAACCAAGTGTTTTGGAAAATCCGTCAGTTTTGATAGTGTGGTGAGCGCCACAAATAAATAAATGTATGGGAAACACATCCCACAGCACAACCACCTGAGCCCAACTTCAGTCTACTCATCGCCTTAACTTTAACTGCGTTTGTAGCCGGTGCCATAGCCAGACTGATAAACAAACACAGACCGGAAGTTAACTTCGGGCCAGGCGCGTGCGCCCATTAAAACCATCAATATAAAGCTTGAACCATCAATGACAAGAAATCTGTACTCAGTATTGACTGCAAAAATCCTGATCGGAGCATCCCTAAATGTAATAGTTAAATCTTTATATAGCATATTTCCAATAAATGAAGGGTCTGTGTTTCACTCTTAGCTTCTATCATTTCGCAATTTCTCAACAAATGCTACAAAAATTGTCGATACTTCAAGGTTTAGAGCAGTGATGTGTGCAGGTGCTACCTGAAGTATGGGCTGATGGCAGCGAGGACATTTCTGTGACAAGAGAATGTCTTGCCATGGTCCACTTCCACGACAATGTCAGTCAGCTGAGCTTCGTCGTACAAGACTTTAAGCTGCTGGAGAATGTTACAGGCGTGTAGGGCATCTACCCCATTGTAGCTTGTGCTTGCTGGAGTCCCATTCTGTACTTGTAACAGCTTTCCTATATCTACAAGACAAAAGTGTTAGACAGCCGAGATGATTCCAGGTCTTACAGCGACAATAAAGATTATGACTTACAAGTATGACTCTTTTGCAGTCAGTTTAAGTTTCTAGGTTTTAAACCCGACATGTAATATGGGAACTGAGCATTTTGACACTTTATTAGCCCTTGATTTTTGTTAGAACTAGAGCCCAAAACATTAAGTTTCAATGCAAAACTACAAGAAAAAGAAAAAAAAAAGATTTAAGAGCTCATTCAACAGACGTGCAAAAAGTCAGTGACATCCAAGTTTACTTACTAATATTCTTTCAGTGCTGTTCAGAACAAACAAACAAATACATTCACACAAAACTTCTTGTCCATTAACCAACCACATCCCCCACATGGCGTTATTATAAAACTAGTTAAGAGCAATAAAATAAGCAATATGGTCTAAAGAAATAGTATTGCTTTTGACAACCTCAGACATCTAATACTCTCCCGATAATCTGATTGAAGAAATGTATTTAGTTACTACGAGTAAACGAGATTCGGTGCTTAACTTATTAGCTGTGCTAATCCAAATGCTGTTTTACCGGTTAGCACAACATCAGGCTAGTCTGTTCTCGAGCCATTTCGTGGCACTAAATAAACCGTGACAACGCATTAAATATCACGAAAGCGCACACAGTTACACGAGGGTTAACGTAGTTGAATTAATTGTATCGTAACCCAGCGAGTAAATAAGCGAGTGTTTACAGTCTCTCGCTGAGCTAGTCTCGCTAGCCGCTACGTTACCTCTCCGTACTTTTCTGCCTAAATCCAAACAGCCACCGGAGTTCGCCGTTTATTTGAACGAACCGTCTAACTTTACCGCATTCCGTCAAAAGAAAATACTATCACAGATGAATAACGCACAAACAGGCTAAAAACAACTTTTGGAAATAAGTTTGGATTTTGAAGAGACGATCTAACCTCCACTGGCAGCCATTCTCCCCAATCTGTCTCACGGCGACTGGGAAACCGTCACTAATGGAATGGAGCCCCGGAAACAGGCAGCAGCCAATCAGCGTCGCCGAACGCAGGTGACAACCAATAGCCATTCGAGACCGTCTGTTTTCGCAAAATAGTTCAAGCATTATTATCAAGGGAGTTTATATTCCATTAAGAATGTCTGTGGGTGAGTTTGTGATATGAATAACTGAGACATATGAAGATAAAACAGCATTTAGGAGGTATACAGTATATAAGTATGCAGTTAATTAATAATATCCAGAACTTAAATATTTCAAATTAAAGGGACTAAATATATACGTTTAGGAATAGCTCAATAAAAATTATTATTCTGATTTCTGAATACTGGTTTGGACATGTGCCCCTCATGTATATGGTGGTTACAGCCCTGAATAACAAGAAGTGACACATTTATTTGATCTTATCTTTCTTCAAACGTGTCTATTTATCTTTTGTTCCAGCTAAAAGTCTGTAGACATTAAGTGCTACCGCTTCCACAACTTAAAGCTTAATGGTAAAAACTAGCTTGATAAACAGAGGCAACCCAGCTCCCGCTCTTTCTTTTCTTTTCAGTTCACTTAAGATTTATTTGTATAGTACTTTTAACAATAGTAATTGTTGTAAAGCAGCTTTACATAATTTCAGGCCCAGACCCCCTGTGAGCAAACACAATGCCACAGTGGCCAGGAAAAGCTCCCTGAAAGTAACAAAGTGTTGGAGTAATGGGTGGTTTTGGGGAAACCTTTTTCCAGATCAGCCTGTTTCATCCAGATCAACTGTAATATGTTCTTCATTTACTGATTTCTGTAGCTGGCATGCCATAGACACTCTGTGCAGCTTCAGACAAGTGTGGATAACACTACTAATTTATGCGTTTTCTTTTTTTAATAATTAAATAACACATTTGTGTTCATGGTATACTGAGGTTGGTTAATGGTCACATGCAGGTAAACAAATAAAATATGTTATCTTTTTTTTTAGTAAGTGTTTTATTTTGATTGCTTTTACTTTAAAACATATTTATTTTAATTTGACATTTTTATGATTTAATTATTTATTAGCATTTCATCAACTCAGGAACCCCCTTGTAAACCCCGATTTGGGAAAACCCAGTGTAGCCCAAATGCCTTTTTTTGTAATCATAGTAATCATAACATTTTTTGTCAAATTCTCAGTTCACATTATAATTATTATAAGACATTTTTCATAATTCCTTTTATCATCAATGAATAATAAAAGTACTGTAAAACAATAAATGTATCACAATGTATAAAAACTTTAAATATTTATTCATGTTTTTTATTACAATAATATGGCATAGCAAAATAATAATAATAAATAACTAAATATATATGTATCTTTCTTACTTTGCAGTGAAATGTTGTACAGGTTGTGTGAGATTCACACAAAAATCTACACCCCACAGGCCTGGTAAATAACAACTTAAAGTCTTGATGAAACTGAAGTAGCAACAGAGCCTTTCTTCCATATTGTACATCCCAGTGAAACTGATTATCGAAAAAGAAAAAAAAAAGAAGGACAGGGACTTGGTTCTGTCCATTGTGTTTAATTGGATGGAGGCAGATCTGAATGTGAGCTTGCAGTCAATTGTAAGAAAGTCTTTTGTTTTACCGGAAGATAGAGTTACGACCTTCTGATTAAAAATGATAAGGTCAGAAAATACTTAAAAAAACAAAAAAAGAAAGATGATCACACTGAATCATTCATAATAAGATCAATAACATGCATTTAGTAAATAGATGGGAGCGAATTTTCATTTCTTGTCAACTTTATTTTTCCAAAATCTCTCTCACTAGATAAGCTGCTGTTGTCAATCAGTTCAAGGTTCATCTTCAATTATACAGATCTCTGTAGTTTACAGGCATGCTATCTCACACATTGCAATTTTTCAAGGTAATTTATTTCCTAAAATCAATAATGGTACCTGCTACATTAATACAGGCAGCCGGAATATGAATAATTTATTTGAAATAATACGCAATATTAATACTTGTTTCACATAATAATATAAAACAATGGACTTGGAATATATTAGATGTACTAATTCAGTTTAAGTCATCCATTACAACACTCCTGTTCTCATTGCTTCCTGATTCTTGGCTCTCTGGGCCCTTATCTCAAGCCAGAGGATAAAAGCACATGTTTTGGCACATGTCAGTCTAGCACAGACTAGAGATCCATTTTGACACTGTCTAACACTGCACAAAAAGGTGGTCCAATAAGGTATAACTGCAGTCAGCAGGCAATCAATTTTCCTTTCCTCCATAACAACTAGAACAGGCCATGAAATTGCACTGAAATGAAAGGCTTTCTGTTGCCTTGGCTGTATAATAGATTTTTGCGGTAACACTTTATTTCGATAGTCCACTTTAGACATTCTATTAACAGTAAGTAACTTTGCAACTACATGTCAACTAGCAATTAGTAGAGTATTAGTAGACTGTCTGCTTAATATCTTCTAAAACTTTCTTTGTCAACTTATTCTACTAACCCTAAACCTACCCTAACAGTCTACTCTGAGAGTTCGTAGACATGTAGTTGCAAATTAATAATAATTAGTTGACATGTAGTTGACATGTAGTTACAAAGTTACTTATAGTTAATAGAATGTCTAAAGTGGACTATCGAAATAAAGTGTAACCATTTTTGCTTATGTTTACATTCCTATAGCCTGCTACTTTTATATATAGTGCTGGTATTCCTGATATCAGCGCACCATATCATAATATATCCTTTGGACCTCACACTTTGTACTAACATCAGAGAAAAGCGGATATACTGATTCAAAATGCGAAACAGGTCAAACTTGAAAAGCTGTATTGCTTGCAAAATTCTGAATATGCACAGGACTGTGGAAAGCGACAATCACACTATGACGTTTTTTTTACCTTGTAGTATTCCCTCAGGAAAGTCTCTCCTGTACAACATAGCAATCCTACTTGATAAGCTGCTGTACTTTTTATCTGGAATTGCTTCAGGCATTTATGGCATTTCCATTTCAGCTTTTGACAGTAAAGACATTTGCTTTGTTAGCCAGTCACATTTTTCAAGATATGCATTCACACCCATCAGGAACAGAGAACACCAGTAACAACAAATCTAGCTTTATTTGATTTACATTGCATCTTAAAGCAATTTATGGCATTATTAGGGTTAGGGTATCACGTCATCAGGACCGGGATGGGGAGCACAGAAATCTTGACTCGCCCTGAAGAGGTTTATTTTGCAATAATGATGGCTGAATGTACAGTATACATCAGTATCTGTAAAAAATAAAAAATAAATTTTTTCTATGGAGTTTATTTGATGAGCATCCATAAATAATGGATGCTCATCAAATACACTCCATAGAAAAAAATTATTTTTTATTTTTTACAGATTTTTATTAAAACATTTTAATATTAATATATAATATTCACGCATATATCGCAACAGTTCGGAAATCAAATGCCCGATGAGTGGAGACATGAAAATAGTGCTGGTTTAAACAGTCTGATATACTACCACGGATGACGGTGAGTATTCTAGAGTACTTTGTAATAAATTAAACATAAATAATGTGAAATACTGAATCACCAAATTTAGCATTAACAAACAGAAAAGTGTAGAAATCACAGTTTTAAAAAAACGTATTTTCTGTTTGACTAAACCTCTTTTCATATGTGTGCATTATGAGGTGGAGGAAATGTGCGCTGAGAGCAATTGCACTTGGTAATAAATTGGACCAGCAAACACCTCTCAGGCTGTGAGACGATCTCACTTCTTTCACCGTCTGATGAAAGAGAGAGAGAGGGAAAGCGAGTCAAGCGGCAGAGAGAGAGAGAGGTGCACAGGGAACATAGATGCCGGAGATGCAGCACTGAATTGCAGAGGAGATGCTGTAGGGAAATGAAATGAAAAGCAAGAAGGAGAGAAAGCAGGGGGTGTAATTGTAGTTTAAATGTGTGTTTTAGCCAGAGATGGAGGTAATAGGTTATTATATGCCTCTGGGGACCCGTGTTAGACTATCTGCAGATGCTCATGGAAACCGTTCAGTCTCCTGTGTCTTCCCTCACCACCCGTCATGAGGCAAATAGGAGAGCGATGGGAGGCAGCAGTAAATACCTGCCCGTGCTTCCCACCTCATGTTTAAAAAGTGCCTCTCTACCCCCTGTACGTGGAATGAATATGCGAGCATCTGCGAGTAGCATGATCATCACTCGTGGCTCCATCTCACGAAGAGAACAATCTTCCTCCCTGGCATGGAAATGGAGCTATGTGTGTCTTAACAATGGTGATCATACATGCCGGGGAGCCACTTATTCAAATGACTGAACAATTATTTCTCAGTTTGTTTGCAGAGGAATGCTGAAGATGAGAGGACAGCCTGCTAGGCTAATGTGTTACAGGGAGTTTCCGCAATGACAGAGGAACTTGTCGATTAAGTCACTGGGCCTTAAAACATCTGCCATATCTATAATGAAATCCTTTTATTGAGAACATTATGCATTTGCATAGCAACAAAATCTAAAGTTTTTAGGATGAGATTTTCCAAGTTTTTTTATCTAATTTTTATACTTTAGTTTTAGATTTTGTTACTTCAATTACTGAAAACTATTTTTAATCGTTTTAATTAACGATAACAACACTTCTCTGTGGTGTTTATTTTAATGCATTGTGCTCTTCAATATGGAAATTTTGCATACAAAATAGTTTTTCCTTATTCCAGTACTTTATTCCAATCTATCTATCTATCTATCCATCCATCCATCCATCCATCCATCCATCCATCCATCCATCTATCTATTTACCTACCTACCTAACCTACCTACCTACCTACCTACCTACCTACCTACCTACCTACCTACCTATCTATCTATCTATCTATCTATCTATCTATCTATCTATCTATCTATCTATCTATCTATCTATCTATCTATCTATCTATCTATCTATCTATCTATCTCAGTCAGTCAGTCAGTAGGATAATAACTATGAAAAAGGTTTGGTCC